TTAGATCTATATTTTTTTAATTAAAAGTCATATTAATATTTTTTTATCTTACCCTAAACGTATTTAAGGAGGTAGGTCTATGTAGACTAGCATTATGTATTATGAATATAATGAAAAAGATTACTGCCTATGGCGATCGACATCTAGAAATGATTTGTTACAATACTTTTCCAGATAACAGCAATCTGTGATCACAAACCTGTATGAAATTAAAAGCATAATTATTTAATTGTATTTATACACGTGTAATCGCAGCTCTTTTAAACTCAATTATTATATAATAAAAGATTGTACAATAAAAGTTCAATAAAAGATTTATACAAACTACTTTATATCATGTATATAAATGTAATTCAGATAATAACGAAAATACATATATATTCATATTTTACATATGTAATTATTTATTTACATGAATGCATATGTATAATTACCTATATAATAATACTGTTAAAGGAACAGTACTAGCATGCCACAAGGAATGAGCATCAAATATCCAAAAAATAGGAGGAAAATCTGCCAACTCGAGTAGAGTCACAAAAGTAGTTAATATATTGAACCAAGCGATTAAGTACAAATAAGGCAACTTAATGCGGTTAAAGTACCACCACAGCATTGTTATCACGACAGTCGCGAATCCTGGAATTGTAAACGATTCAATTTTTCATAATGTCGTTTTGTTATCTTCTTATAAATACAATATGCACAATTGTGATATGAAATTTACCTATCGCTACATTAAGCATCATATTATAACCATAATTAATTCTGCCTGACCATAAATGCGACAAATGTGTACACAAAATGCTCACATATCCACAGGTTATTATAACAAGTGCTTTAGTCCTCTTGTTGATTATCCTAAAAATAATTATTACGTTTATTAGATTTAATATAAAATAATGAAGATTAATAAATTATTCGCACACACGCATGCGCGCGCGTGTGTATTAATAGACCATGTCTTTTAATTCTAATACTATTAAATATATATTAATTTAATGATTATTTTATATATTTTTAAATAAATATATAAGTACGTAAATTATATCTAGAAAGCTTATTGCACATACCTTAAAAGCATGCAATATAACAGTGTAAGTACCATACTAAACGCACAAGAATAATCCATAGCTTCTGTAAAGGGCCAGTCCCGCGAATGAAATACGGTTGACCAAAACCATCCGTTTAAACATATCTACAATAAAATTACACTTTGCAAATTACAACTCAAAGATCATACAAAAATTAATGTGTGAGACAAAAGAAAAATGTTTAACGATAAATAACATTCTTAAACAATAGCCAATTTACTTGAAAACATCACAAGAAAAATGTAAAAAATCCATATAATTTTGTACTTGTAAATTTATTTACCGGAATGAAGTAACTCTTTTCTTAATAAAAAAAATTATAAGAAATAGATAATCTTTAAGTTTTAAATAATTGAAGAGTTTTCCAGAAAATTAAATTTTAAAGATTACTATAATATAGATATTATATTTGACATGTATTTAGAATTCATTACAACACATAATGTGTTCAAAATAGAATTTACAATGAATAATGTTTATCAACTAGGTTAAAAAGAATTTTGAAATTCCAAAAGATGAAAAATGTATATGTAAACAATTGTTTGCTATGTTTAAACACTTGTGTGTGTGTGTGTGTGTGTGTGTGTATATATATATATACTGAACTTACAATATTGAAATACGTCCAAGCATAGAACATAGGATTAGTTTTGTCTATCCTTCCTTTAAATTTTCGATACATTATCCAATGTGTGTACAAATTTAGTATAGAGAATAAAACTGAAGCAGGCTCTTGACATCCAAACAAGCGAATGAATGGCCACTGCAGAAACAAGAATAATCATCATTATTTATATAAAATAGATTATCATAAATGTTATATGAACAAATGAAAATATTATGTAGAGACATTATTTTTTTTTCAGTAATTAAATATTTTCATATAAAGATTACGGTTACATATTTAGCTTACTTTTCCATGAAACTGTGGTATGTTCAAACCATGAGATATAAAGTAATCAACGGTTCTCCATATACAAATATAACTACAATCTTCTTTGCAAGACCAGTATAGTAAGCTCAAGAATAAAGAAGGTTGTTCCTTAAAATCTATTTCTACAACATGCATTGTATAAAATATTTTAAATTGTTAAATATTAAACCTTCAAAAACAGAAATCTTTTTTACAAATAAAACAGCATCCAAAAAGAAACTATACATGTACTAACAAATTGTAGAAAAGTATTTTTGACCCTATAATAAATAGATATGATACACTTGAGAATAGAAAACAGATTATATTATTTTACATATACATATAAAATGATAAATGTAAGCACATATATATGTATAATATTATGTATATGATATATACTGAAATATTATGTATACTAGCTGAAACACACAGTACATGGAGTATCTTGACTGATCAGTATCATACCTAATATTCATTGGATTCGAGATATGTATTCTGAGCAAAAGAGACTGAAGGAGAAGAGAAAATAAGGATAATGAATTACATCAAAGATTTACGTTTATTATAATTCTAGATAACCATGACAATCATTTTATAAATATATTACTAGTAATGTGTAAAGATAATAAAAGAAACTTTGTTATACCCTCACATAAGTATCTAAGTATTATATTTGCATATACAAATGTTGTCTTTAACGTCATTTTAATTTGTTAATATTTTATATAAGTATATGTATACTCTGTATAAATATATATAATTAAATAGTATATAATCTAAGAGCATAGTTTTCTAATACTTAATCTTTTTTAATCGTAATGGATTCGAACCGATTCAAGGTTTGAGCACAAGGTCGATTAACGACGTCACCACTCTACTTTAATTTCTGATTGGACGGGGTCATGGTACTTTCGGGTTAATCGATCTCGAGTCCAAATCTACTGAACGAAATTATCGAAAACGCTGTATCAAGGAAATAGGTATAAAGAATTCAGGAGAAAAAAATCGCCAGCCCAATTATTACCATTTCTGCAGTTGTTATTGCGACACCGTGCTAGACATTGGTTGTATACCTGCGATTTGTCACCTAACGAACCAACTGTATTTCCAACGAAACAAACTTGTAAAATCAACAAAAGGACCCATTTCATTTTTGGCTTATCGATCTCAACGAATTAGTGTCCCTAGGGACACTAGTACCGAGCAACTGTCGAGTCAAGGCCGAACCACGCCGAACAATGGTCGACTGATTGAGAATATTAGGTCTGTTCTTTTCTCAAGGAAAAGAGAAAAGGAAAAAAGATGAACTGGTGCAAAAGTTCAGCCAAAAAGAACAGGCCTATTGAGACTGTTGAGACTCAAGAGTGGCAGGCTGGCAGAGCTGATGATATGACAGGACTTGATGAGGTTTGATATGGATTGATATCTTAGGAAGCGCAAAGAGCGTGACGGGGAAGAGAGAGCGAAAAAGATACGCGCCATTCGTGGCTACTCAGACGAGAGATAAATATGTGCTTTCAAATATCGGGCAGGAGTAATAAACAGACGCGATAGATCACGAAAAACGAACACAAGAATACAGAGGAATACTCAAGTAGAAAAACGGAAGTGGACACCTGTTGCTGCCGGCTTTGTTAATCATTAGTCGTCGTTAATCGTTACTCGTTAGACGATTGCCATGGCATATTTACTCAAAAACCTTACCAATAGTATTTGGCATGCATTTCACGCTCTTCAGGTCGATGCTACCAACACGGTCGCTAAATCCAAATTAAAGGTGAAACTTTGAATAATTAAATGTCTCATAAAATCAAGAAAATTAGTTTGGACAGCTCGACAATATAATTCGTGCAATCGTCTATAATTTCTTTTTTTCTTGTTTCTTCGACATTTTTTCATTTCAGTATTTTATTTTGACAGGTGTTGACAGCTAACATTGGTACCTTGATGGATTTGTATGGTGTAGAAAAAGGCCTAGAGCATTACCGAAGTACGCAAAGTTTAACGTTTGATCAATACATCTATTATTTACAGAAGGAAGTAAGATCTTTTTTAAAATGCATGTATATTGAGCTATATGGTGTATATATATATATATACACACACGTATATATACATACACTACTCAAAAAAATTAAAAGATTACTTGTTCCATCCTGCAAAAATAAGCAAACTTCAAGAGAGAATAACTTTGTCAAAAATCATTGTATCAAGATTTTTTAAAAAGCATTTTAAAGCTTGAAATCTTTACTTTTCAGACCTGTACTTAAAAAATCGTATTATTTCATAAAGTTACACAAACATAAATGAAGATGCATCAGATCTGAAAACTTTTTACGAAATTTGCAAAGTTCTATAGAACCAAGTAAGAATGGTGTACAAATGCGGTTTACAGCTTTCAAAAGAGTGAATTTTTACTTTTAATTTGAGTTTTTGTTGACCTTTGTACGATTTTTTTTTCACGGAGTTATTCAACATGAAGTAAAAATGACCCTTTTTGCTAATATTAAATGACTCTAATTTTGTTGAGAAACTACAGGCAAATTTCAAGATAAAATAGCTTCATCAAAAATCATTGTATCAAGATGTTTAAAAAAGAATTTTATAGCTAAAAATTTCTACTTTTCAGACCGATATTTTGAAAAACGGTCTTACTGATATTTCGTCAAGTTATACAACATAAATAAAAATGCGTCAAATCTAAAATTTTTTTACTAAGTTTGAAAAGTTCCACCGCACGAACTAAAAATTGTGCACAAATGCGGTTTACAGCTTTCATAAGAGTGAATCTTTACCTTTAATTTGCTTTTTTATTGACCTCTGTACGATTTTTTGTTCATTGAGTTATTTAACGTTAAAATAAAAATGATTTTTATTTTAACGTTGAATAACTCGATGAGAAAAAAACGTACAAAGGTCGATAAAAAAGCAAATTAAAGGTAAAGATTCACTCTTTCGAAAGTTTTAAACCATATTTGTGTACAATTTTTACTTGGCTCCGTGGAACTTTGCAAATTTCATAAAAAATTTTTGGTTTGATGCACTTTTATTTATGTTTTGTAACTTCATGAAATATCAAAAAGACTGTTTTTTGAAGTACTGGTCTGAAAAGTAGAGATTTCGAGCTTTAGAATGTTTTCTTAATCATCTCGATACGATGATTTTTGACAAAGTTATCTTATCTTAAAATTTGTCCATTTTTACAGGGTGGAACAAGTGATCCTTTAATTTTTTTGAGTAGTGTATTGACAAAATGAAGCAAATGCCATTTCTCTTAATTATTTAAAGAAATGATAGAATTTTATATAGAGATGTATACATATGAATGTTTTTGAAATTTTATGATGTTTTTAAGAAATATGTAAAGACTTCTGCTTTATTTTCAAAATGTATATCTCTAAACATATCTCTCTTTAAAATTACGATTTTTATTGGACCGTCGAAATTCTAAGACAATAAGGAAATATTATCGGCCAAATGACGGTCAAGCAGGATTTTGGTTGCTAAATTAATGTGTGAATTTTTATTTACCACGTATGTAGTTCCTCCAATCGCGTGCCGAAAATTCTTCAGACTTACAACGCAACTCTAAACAACTACCGTAGCAATATCACAAAGTTAAATTGACAAACAATCTAACAATTTATGATGCTTATAGCATCTTATTGGATCTTTAATAAATATTAATTTAGCAACCAAAATCCTGCTTGACCGTCATTTGGCCGATAATATCTCTCTTTCTCTCCCTCCCCCATCCCCATTAAAGATTTATCTCAAATATCTTTTATTTCTACCTTTACTCATTCAAGAGCATTTGCTTCATTTTTGCTCATCCAGCTTGATGCAATCTGTACAGTAATTATCACTTCAGGTATTCTCTTCTGTAACTGATGCAACCTCTGTACAAATACTGAAGACGTTGGAAGAAGGAGTAGATGAGATTTGCTGGTTGGTTTGTAAAAAGATCTATCTAGAGAGATCTCATTCAGTTTTTGACGATCACAGTGTTTACCAATTGTTCAGAATTTACTGTCTGCTGGCCGAGACAGATTCAGATGCAACAGATTCTTATCTGGTTATTGATTGCTTATAATAAATTATATAAATAAGTATCTTTTGCAATGTTCAATAACGCTTTTGATGACGCAGGTGATAATGCATGGCGACGAGGTAGCGCGAATCGCTTCCCATCTAGTAATGTCCTTGGGTCTACAATGGGACGCGGCAGATTTCTCGGCTCTATCAGCAGCTATTGGGACATTTAGGTAACTTGTTGTTTTTAACTTGTCATACTGGTCGCAATGATAAAAATATAAAAAACACAATTTCTTTATAAAAAAAAATGTATTGGAAAGGTTTTCCACATTTCTGGCAGTTTTGGAATCCAAATATAGTGGTGGTAATACTTTGGACATTATGGCGTTATCAGAGGCGATTGATGATCTCTACCAGATTTACATAGATAATGTGGTGAAAAAGGTAAATCAATGTTTTGCTCAATTTTGCTAATAAATTTAAAAAAATTTGATTCAGATTGATCAGCCTTCCTCTAAACGCATGCTATCTGTAATGCAGTATGTTCTGAGTTACGTATGAAGCGCATGATGCCTCATTTGTCTCTGTTGGTCACACCAAACAATAAAGAAAGATTAAATGATACATCACGCGCTTCATACGTAATTCTGGACGCACTTCATGTTACGAACGTATCGCATTGTTCGTTTTGTCTCTCGGAAGTTGCTCGGAGTCGTTCCGAACGAACCCAGCGTACTTGGGTGCGATCTATTTCATGCTCTAAATACCTCGAAACATTCTTTGATTGATCAATTCGTCAAATTCTTTCTTCTGATTGATTTGCAACGAAGCATTTGCAGCATTAAATGGATCACATCCAAATACGCTGAGTTGGTTCAGAGCGACTCCCGACTCGTTCAAGCAGCTCCCGAAAGACAAAACAAACAATACGTATGTTTATACAATTGTAAAGCCCGTAGAGTCAGATTACTGATTTTATAGACCAACCTGACATGACTGCCAACCATAATGAACGAATCGCAATGACTGACTGATTATGATTGGTTTATTATGAATCGAAAATCAAAATCGGTTTGGTCTGCAAACTGGGTAATCTAATATTGACTTAAGAGGCAACGTGTGCATTACAATGAAATATATGTATATGTGTGCGTACATGTAATGTCATGTGTAATAATATGTCTGTTCTGACTGAACTTTTGCATCAATTCATTTTTCTTTTTTTTCTCTCTAGAAGAGAAAAGGAAAACAGATGAAAGAACTGATGCAAAAGTTTAGCCAAAAAGAACAGTTGCGGGATTCTCTAAACGTTTTATCGATGATTGTCGCTATCATTAACTAGCGACAGCCAATGGCAGGACAATCCTAAAAGAAAGCGCGGCTCTCATTGGCTGTCGCTAGTTAACGATAACAACAATTATCGAAAAAACGTTTAGAGAATCCCGCAACAGGCCTAATGTGCAATACACACCAACGACATATATATATATATATATATATACACATGTATAGACCAAGCATTCTGTTTGTAGCTTGAAGCCGGAAGTTGGCAGTTTAACTGGACCCATCCTTTATATGCAAAATAATTAGAGGAATCACGTTATCTAAAAAAAATTACATAATTCCATTTAAAAAATTAAAGGTGACCTTCACGTAACCTTCAGAGGACTATCCAAGGTCAAATCGATGGCACCATCTTATGTCCCCCTTCGAGTCAAACAACTTATGTCTGAAACATTTTTTCGATAAACGCCTTCTTTCTGAGATAATCGCGTGGAAGTTTTAAAATGGGACACCCTGTGTATGTGTGTGTGTGTGTGTGTATATATATATGCTGCAAAATAATTAGAGGAATCACGTTATCTAAAAAAAATTACATAATTCCATTTAAAAAATTGAAGGTGACCTTCAGAGGACGATCCTAGGTCAAATCGATGGCACTATCTTATGTCCTCCTTCGAATCAAACAACTTTTGTCTGAAACATTTTTTCGATAAACGCCTTCTTTCTGAAATAATCGCGTAGAAGTTTTAAAATGGGATACCTTATATATGTATGAGAAAGATGTTCTTGGCAGCATGGTGGAAGAAGGCACCACGCTGGGCAGCACTAGTCGCAGAAAGTAAACGAACAGTATAAGAAAGTTAGTTGAAAAGAAAACATCGCGAGATATAATATAGGTCAACCTAAACTGTCAATTTTCGGCTTCAAGCGCACGCGCGTAAGTGTAAAAAAAATATATATAAAAAATGTAATAATATATTACAAAGGGCATGTAAGAATATTAAAGAATATTAAAAAATATATGATTAAATTTTGTGTGATTAAATTAATGATTAATTGATTTATCGGACTATGGTTGACAAAAAAGTTATATTTTTATATGTTTACTAAGGAGACTGAAGAGGACTTTGTAAAGTTGAAACGTTTCTCGTTATAATTGATAGAATATTTAATAAATTGATAGAATATTTAATAAATTTTGTCATTTTTTATTTTGCTTGTTTTAATACCGTAATTTGACATCATTATTATTTTGTTGTTTTTATGACATAACAAGCGTTATTTATGTAATTATTTATTTATTTGTTTATATTGTTTTAAATTAATTTTAGTCTATTTCAAATTAAATATATAATAATACAATCAAATAATGACTACGTGTTTCGGCTTTATATTTAAATCCTCTTCAGTTATAAAATTATAATGCAGTAAATTTTAACTTCAAAGTTATGTGTTTGAAAGAGAGTTGATGATTTTTCAGACTAGATGAATGTTTAATTAGAGACACGGAAATTGCTCGTCAAGCGATTGGTTGACGAATGCGAAAATTTTTCGTTGTTCTCAGATTCCAAAAATTGAAAAATCATGTTAATGATGTAATATTTATCAGTAGTTAAATATATAAATTATGATTTGAAGTCAAAAAAAGTAAAAGATTAATATTACAGTATATGTGTGCATAACGTCCGATGTATAAAATTGAGATAAAATAACAAGTATATAATATTGAAACAAGTAAAAGGTATACAATTATCATAATCATTGACTGATAATTAAAAACGTTTAACTGTCACGACGAACATAACTGTATTGACATAATAATATATATATTTTTTGTTTACAAATATCGCAGGGCTATTTGATGAAGAAAGGTTTCCTGCTGCCAACATTGCGATATTTTTGGTTTGTATTACGTCCCGGTGAATTGACATATTACAAAGATCCCCAACAAAAAGAGCCATCCGGATTAATACTACTGAACGTTAATTGTTGGGCCGATACTGTGACAAACAGTGGAAAGCCCGATAGAAGATTCGTGCTTAGCACCCCTGAACATAGATGCATAGAGCTAATGGCAGAGGATCACAAAGGTAGACTCCAATGGCTCGCGGCATTACAAACAGCCATTCAGCATTCGAGCGAGAAGATCGGCTATCAGAGAAGTTTGGCCAATCAACGAAGATCCTTGCGACAAGTAAATACAAATTAATTAAAGAAGAAAAAATATGTACAAGTTTTAGTTAATATTTTAGTTAATACTTATTCAATAACTTGTATTGTTATTTGTTAGGCTGTTAAACAGGAAAAAGAAGAGACCAAGTTGGAACTTCAACACGAGAGGCAAGCTAGAATCGCCGCTGAAATACAAGCTAGGAAATTAGAAACTCTGTCGAAGGAAGAAGGTGCTAAAGTTCAACAACTTGAAGATGTTAAACAAAAATTAGAGTTGCTGCTACAAGAAGAAAAACAGGCTCTACGTGATGAGGAAATAGGTAAAAAAGGCTATATCTAATTTTTATTGTACTAATTTTTGTAAGATTGCATAATTTAGATATGCCTTGTATATCTAAATTACTGTATATATATTACAGTACGAAGTTTACAAGCGAGAGTACTACGCGAAGAATGGGAAAAGAGAGAGCAATTAGAAAGACTGCAGCTGGAGCAGCAGGAATTGCTAGAGATGGAGAAGATGAAAAGAGTGGAATTTGAACAGATGCAGAAAAAAAACGAGCAGCAGTTGCAAGGTACATAAAATCTATAAAAAGTATGTGGAAAAAAACAATATCTGATTTAAATCTTATTAGTTATATTAATATATTTGATTCTTTCCAAAATTTAGACAACTATGTATTTCTTTCTTTAACTTTCACTTTATATTCTTGATGTTATTGTTATTTTTATTCTTCAATTTCTATCTTATTTGGAAATTTCTACTTTTGCATTATTCTTTTATATCAACTTTTAGATGCTGAATTACGACTTCAGCATCTAGAAGCGGAAAGAGAACATTTGGATACCGAGTTGCGAGCGGCACACGAAAAGATGAAACGTGCCGAAGAGGCTCAATTTTTATTGGAAGCACAAATCGTGACACGTCCCTTGAGAGGAAATGAGAGAATTCGACGTACTCAAAGCTTTATACCGACAACAAAAGAACGACCGTTGTCCATAGAGAAAATCGATAGCAGATCTATGACAATGCAGAAGAATATATGACATCAATAACTAAAAGATCAATATCTTTATCGTCTGAATTGCATTTAAGTCTTCCACCAAATAGAGTGACACCAAGAATCTATAGAATCTATTATACTGTTGCAGAGCAACTACTATATCATATTTTCATAAATATGAGAAAATTCCATGCGAGCTCCGAATTCAATAGTTCCTTATTCTTGATGCCTTGCTTATTCGTAATCTTAGCCAAAAAGTATTTAACATTGTATTAACAAATTTTTATACGCAAATTCCATTCCTTATTATATTTGAAAATAATGTGATTTTTATCTTGTAGAAGACAAGATACAATGTCCACATGACGCGTATATAAATATCGTATAAATATATTTTTTATCGTATAAATATATATTTAGCGAGTGTATTATCGTAAAATAAGAAAATATTTAATAGAAATTTATACTTAATTGTTGAAATATATATATGTAGAATTGTAAAATATGTCTAATAGAGGTGTCGAAATATTTTTGTAAAACTTATAAATTATAAAAAATTCTATAATATTTTATTCGAGTCAAATTGTATTAAACTGAAATCAAAGAGATGCGATTTTTATAGTATTTCTCACACACACACAAAACAGACAGAGGAGGGAGAGGGAGGGAGAAGGAAGAGGGGAGGGGGGGGAGAGAGAGAGAGAGATATATGTCTAAAACTAAGTTGAATTGTATTATTGATCAAACACTCCACATGGCCGACCTTAATAATTTGCAATGTTGAGATTTCATACCAGTTTATACTCCTAATGAACAAATTTGTATTTCGTTAAGAATAAATGATTTGAATAATTTACAACTGTATAAAATCTGTTATTTACTGAAAAATGCCGAAAAAAAAGAAAGGAAAGGGAAGCAAGTTGGCTCGCATGAGCGACGAAGAACGCGCTCGCTATCTACAGCACCGAGCCGAATTGGAACTAGAAGCTAAACGACGTAAACAACAGTTGATTGCAGTTTTTACTAAGGTAAATATCCAAATCCAGTACAAAATGGAAATATAATGTAATACAAATTTTTTAAATTTATTTTTAAATGTAGAATAAGCTGAAACGTGAAGAGGCATTCGCACGATTAAACACTGCCAAGATCAATGAACAATGGCGATTTATTCTGCGCCGAATAAAATGTAAAGAACTTCACGAAGATATGGAATATCTTTGGAATAATTTCGATCGTCTGATAAAAACGAAAAATCTCATGATACAGCGTTTACATAGTGAGTTAGAAGCAGCCGATGTCGATCATCGAAGACTGCAAGGGGCCCACATTAAAATGATGGACTTGATAATTGGTAGCTTATTTTATATCATTATGTAAATGTAAATCCATATTAAAGTTTACAATTATTAATTATTAATGATTACATAGGAAGATACAAACAAAAGCGTATTAGACTGCATGAATCCTTCGTACGCGAACGTAATCATATAATTTCGGACGAGACGAACGAATTAAATAGGATACGAAAGAATTTAGATCAGTACTGCAGTCAACTGCAAAACATAAATTTTGGACAAGATAAGAGGATAGAAAATATATTGACGCAAACAAAAATTCAAAATGCCGTTTATATATCTAGCATTGCGTACTTGGTATGGATACTTTCCATTTTTGTGATTCATATGACAGATGTTTGAGATGTTATTTTAATTCTCTCGATCGGAAATATTTCAGAAGGATGATTCCTTGTCGCGCTTGATGCATTACGTTTCCAATGAGGTCGAGAAATTGTGGCGACAACTTAACAAAATGATAATTGAATATGAGAAAGATACGGGAGATAAAAGAAAACAGTACGAATACTTGAAAGAACAGGATGACGCTCATCGTGCAGATGTGGCACAATATCCAAAACTGCAAGCACAATTACAAAGAGTAATCAAGAACCTGAAACAGGACATGCATGCATTATCGCAGAAGCGGGAGCAAAGTATAGCGGAACTGAACAATCAGATTGTACACATAAGGAAGAGAATCGAAAGTTCAAGAGAGATATTTTCCGTAAATCAAGTACTGGACACTACTCAGCTGAAGAAATTGACTATTATCAGCACTAACGTTCGAAAAGTAAAAATATTAAATTATGAAACTTTTATTCAAACTATCCAACTAAAAAATGGAAATATTTAAAAATATTTATGAGATTACAATTTAGACTCTCTCTCTCTCTCCCCCCCCCCCCCCTCCCTCCTTCATCTCCTCCCTCTCTGACTATGTGACAAATAGGTCATTCTTTGATCTACAGGAATTGCAGAGGATTTCAGAAAAAGGCTTGGCAGGACTCTCATTGCTGAGAATATGCTCAAATTTGGAACCGTTCTCACTGACTGTTCAAAAATATACTTTACGCGATACGGGCTCTAGAAGAGCTTTTACGAGTTGCGTAAGTACTGTAAGAGTACAAAACAATTGTGAAATAGTTTGTATCTTCAGTTTTTAAATAACAAGTACTTACAGATGTCAGAACCGTTTGATAAATTGGACAAATTCTGGGAACAGTTCAATTACATTAAATCCGACAATATCTTCATGAAAAAGGAGTGTGATAAACTGTCTTTCGAGAACAAGCTATTGAGAAATATGTTGCGCACGTACCTCTTAACCATTTCTAAAGCTCCAGTTGCACGACCACTCACATCTGTTTCTGTATAAATGTACTTTCAAATGTGTCGATAAGCGAAAAGTAATTTAAAATGCATCAAATTAAAAGCTTTTGCTGAAATCTTTTAAGATCTCTCGAAATTAAATGTAATATATCTAGGAAAGTTAAAAATCTAATTTTAAAAAACAATCTCACATCTTTTATCAATATTAATAACACATTAATAAAGTAAATTGAAAAAAGAACATACACGCGTAGAATGATATTCATATGATTTATTTAACGATGAGTGAATATACCTCCGCCCAATGATAAATATTTATATGGCCGAGCGCGAGTCCGCCCTCTTACAGGATAGAAGAATATTTTTTCCTTCGGTGCCATACTCTCAGTTTCTAGATAGATGTCGAAACATGCTCTCAGTCGTTGTATTTGCGCGGTCAATGTTGGGGACTTGGTCCACATCACATTGACTTCCCTTTCAATATCTCTAATAATATCGGCAGACACTGACACTGTCGGACTTATACTTATGCTAAATACTGGTGCTATCTTTGGATAATCTGGCTTGATAGCAATCCTGGCCACGAGCTCGCCTAACAAATGAATCAAATTTAAAAGTGTGGAAGCAATCATTTATTGGCGATGCAAAGATAAGAAGGAGGGGATCAGTTTTCATCACTTTCCAAAAAATGAGTTTGTCATCTTTCGGAAAGTGATAAAAACTGATCCCCTCTTTATAATTATGGCATTGTGCCACAGAACGGTATGTAGTATTTCTTTTCGATTTTACTTAATTATTTTCCATTATAGCACGTATAAGTTTAGCCAATGTGTCTAACTAGCGAAACTTCTACCGACTGCCACTAGGAGCGCCGCAGAGAAATCTTTGCATCGCCAATTAGTATAGGTAATTTATTATATAATAATAATCATACTACTGCCACGACGAAGTACAGCTTCATAAAAGATGTCTACGGACAACACTAATCCCCGTTGATAAAATTCCGGTGAAGCAACATAATTTGAGTAATTTTTCCAGGTCATAGTCGTGAATCGATGCAACGACGTTGAGATCTTTTGCGGCACGGGATCTGTCGTGCTGATAAATATTGGCAGATTGCCGGACTCTAGTTGTCGTATTTCTATACATAGATCCAGCCTCGCTTTTACGCGCCGTTTAATTTCTTTTAACACACTCTCCACACAGTCTTGTGGCAATTCTTGATTCGTCAGCTACAAATAAAAACGACATAAAATTGAATTTTAATTAGAATATGTTACTTTAATTACGCATCTACACCGTGAAAGAGATTTATATAAATAATTACAATTTTTATTATTACAGTAAACCAGTGAAGCAACCATTTTCTTTCAATTAATCAAATTAACCATCACATCAACGATTTTTCATATTTATGTCACCTTAAAAATATGTGTACCTTTTGTTGTTCGTTCATGTCACACGAGACAAAATGTAGACCAGCCATTCTTTGTGCCCATCTGTACGGAATGCCTAGTCCCAAAGATGAAAACGATCCCAAATTATGCCGCAACAGCTGATACTGATTGGCAGGATTCGGACTCTCCAACCCTAAATCCCGTGGATACAATTCGCGAAGAATCGACTCGGATACTAGCATGTCTCTATTAATTAAGCATGTGACTTGAAAAGATTAATTCAAACTTGTCGAATCGAAGGAAGCAAAAGAAGAATATTGTCATGCCTTGTACACACAAAATTTGAATAAATTAATATTAAGATAATAAGACAGTTATACATACCCAGCACTAATACCTCCTGAGTCTTCCGTTTCAAGTTTTGACTCTACCGTAACGACTTTTAAATATATCATGTAAAAAAAGTGAAGAGTCAGCCTCGTCTCATCTAAAAATTTAATTTAGATTTTTAAATCAATAATTTTTATTTTCTAATATTTGTTAACTTTCAGTTTAACTTGAATACTTTTTAAACATTTTTTTTTAGTTTTTATAAGATAAAAGATTTTTTTATTCAAAACTCACTTTTTAATGTGATAAGTATTTTTACATGTAACGGATGTCGCTGTAATAGTCTAGACCGCTTTTCTTCTTGCCTCGCTTCCCGGGATAACCTGTGATGTCTTTTCTTGTGCACGGGTGTTTCTTCCACGATACTTTCCAACTGATTCTCAGGATCCGAATCAGACTCTTGCAAACCGTCATGATTGTTTGCGCGTTTTGCTTCGTCCTCGTCACCTTCCACCGTAACTTGCAATGTATTATCTACAAAATGTTTCACAAGAATCTATATACGTATAAGATATCTGTAAGAAATTTTATTTCATAAAACAAATTTATATATCGAATCTTTATAGGAATTATACCATAAGCATCTCTATAAGCAGATGCTTTCGCATACAACACGTAAAGCGGTGATGCAAGCAACGATGCTTTTTGATGCTCCTGGCGAATTTTATCCAATGGCAATCCAAGACTTTCTTGTAACGGTTTGCTTGCCTGAAAATACAAAAAGGAAAATTAAATTTGTTAATTGTGTAAGAACATAATTAATAAAAACGCGACATTTTGTATACTTTCTGAACTAATAGGTTAAATTAACATTACTTCCAATATAGAACGCAATTGCGGTACAAGATTGTCCAAACGAGTCAGTTTTGTTTCAATATTAGACGCAACTGCCTTTTTACTCTCTGTCAATTCATCGCACAATGCCGCCAATTGCTTTCGTTGCGTCAGTTCCCATTCTAAACGAGCTAGTCTCAGTTGATGAGAATTATTTTTCGTTATTTCCTAAAATACATCTTTATGTTGTATATGTACATATATTGTAGAGAAGAAAGAATTAAGTTTTATATATACTTAAATTATATTGGCTGTAGGCCCGTTCTGTTATACGCTTATAACACTTGTAAGCATCATTTATTCTTGCTTAATATTTGATAAACAATAAAAATAAATTGATGCCTATAATATGTAAGCGTAAAAATGAAACGCGCCCTATGTAAAACTTATGTATACATACAGATCGTGAAATATTTTCTGGAGCTTCTTTATAAAATTCTTCTTCTGAAACAAGCTCAATTAGTTCATCTTTAGATCTAGAACAAAAAATAAAGTTATTCATTTTTGTTTAAAGTGATAGTAAATAATTAAAAAGTTCTTTTGCGAAATAAAAAAAATTTACTTAAATTGAAGACATTTGATAACTTCTTTCTTCAAATGCATCACTTCGTACAATAGATTCTGTAAATGCAAGTGTCTACTATCAACGCTACTCTTTGCAGCCACTAGAGAGTCTCGTGCAGATTTTGTACGAAACTTTTCCATACGATTTAGTTTCTTGAGTTCTATAAAAGCTAGCGATGTTTGAATTTGCAGCTCACGAATATCATCTTTTACCTAAAGTATTTGTTTTAATAAGTTTCAAGCAAATTTAACAATAAAAAAATAATAACAACATAGAATCTGTTACAAACGTTTGAGTCACCACTGGACTTTAATTTTGCTATTTTATTCATTGCTGCTCGAATATCGTTGCAAGTTGCCAGAAAACATTCGGAATCATCCTCGGACAATCTCTCAACGGCTTCTTTCTCTTCGTAATTAATTATTATCTGACAATGAGATATGAGAAACATAAGTTAATGAGACAGCAGCAGGGTTACGTTCAGGAATTACGCCTAGGTAACTCTAGACTGTAGTTTAGGTTACGTATATTATATCAAAACTGCACCTAAGAGTTATCTGAGCATAATTCCTGAACGCATCCCAGAAGTGAAAAAATCCATCATTCTTCAGAAAACAAGCTGACGTTACTTGTTGTCATTTCGACGTTAAAAAGAGGATAAGTAACGTCAACTTGTTTGCTGGATGCACACGCAAACCATATATTTCATTTAGTTTAATTTAATCGTAATTTCATGCATTTAACTTTTAGCCTAAGTTGTTGGTAAATATATATATATTCGGCTGATGCTTTTCGAGTGGAAAAGTAAAAGTTTGAATGATATAAATAATCGTTTGGTATTGCGAAATTTTAAAGTGATGTTTTTTTTTAAGTTTATTTTCGTCAGAAATTTGAAGCGAACGAATGTATCACAGTATTACATGTTAAATATCGCTGTAACTTTTTGAACAAAGTCTTGGACTTTTATACCTTATACATATCTCCGTCTTTCATTGAGGTTCCACTATTTGCATTCACAGATTTTCTTCTTTTTTTTACACTATCCGATTCATTCTCTTTACCCATTTTTCACGTCAATAAATAAAATTCAGTAAAATTAACTCCTACCATGCATGTAATGCCACAGTAGTATGGAAACTCTCCTGATTTTACGTTGGCAAAAATGGAGTGCACATGCGCGAAATGGGTAAGTAACGCCATCTAAACTTCTATCTCACTTCTTATCCGTTCTCTCTATCACTCTCTGTCAGGATCATTTAGATGCTTCCGTTTAGAAATCTTGTGATGTTTATGTGCTTAAAAAGCTCAAATTTGAAGGAAATTAGTATATAATTGCCGTTTGTTTGAGTTAGAAACTCTAGTTTGTGACTGGAAAGTCTGTGGAAATAAAATAGTGCAAGAGTGAAAAAAGTGAAAAAGTGAAAAAGATTAAACGTGGAACGATATCTCTCTTATAAGAGAATAGTTAACTTATACAACTGTTGTATAAGTTATCTATCCTCTTGGAAGCACTTTTGATCTTAGCTTTATTCCAGGTATTGCTGTGAAATAAGTGAAAAAATTTTGTTTTCTAAATTATTGTTGTATTAAGTTTAAAATTTCTTTCATCTCATTTTTAGTTGATTATTTTTATTTTAGATGCATAAAAATTATTATTAGATACTTTTTATAATTATAATCATTATAAATAGTAATTGTTTTCTTAAACGTAATCTGTATAACAGTAAATTTTACCTTTTTATTGTTTATATTAAAATATTTTAATCTTCGGAACATAATGCTTGTGTTTTTCTGCTGAATTGCTTACGTTTTAGCTTAAAATCTGCGTTAATTCTGTGTGGTACAATTTTAATAATTTTCAAAAACGCAAGCAATCTACAGGAAAACAATAAGCATCGTGTGCCGATCTTTAATTAAAATATTTTTACAGTATCTATATATTTATACAATATTTATGTAATTTTATATATTCTTATTTTTGTTTTCCTCTTTTTATTGCAATGCAATTACAAATCTATTTTTTTTAGTTTTTTTATATTTAAATTAATTTGTTGTAACATACAAATGAGCTAGAGCAACTAGATAGAAAGAGAGAAAGAGGAAACTATATAAAAGAGCAAGTGAGATACAAGTTTGGCATTGGCATTTTACCCATTTCGCGCATGCGCACTCCATTTTTGCCAACACTGACATCAAATCAAAAGTGCCGACAGAGTTTCCATACTGTATATATTGTGGTTAAAGATTTCCTAACCTGAATAGTCGTCAACTTTAACGCTTAATATCTCGGTTTGTGAAGCAGAGCGACGCTTATTTCTGTCAGATTCTTTCGTTTCGTGCAAAAACGCGTCGAATAAACCTAATTTCATCGATTTTTGAGCTGAGGTAGCTATTCTGTATAATTATTTTTTAATTATTACTTTAGTATTATATTTATGAGAGTACATAATAATACATTTCCTAATTTTCTAAATCAGAGTGAACAATTTATTCTTTCGCACAGTTTTAATCTTGTCTAACGGTTAAATCGGTTCGCTGTCTTTGATCTAATGGGTAAGCCGAGAGATGTAAGTACGGAAGAGGAGATAAATTTAGGTAATTTTATATTCGATGTATTTACATCAATTTTGTATGTGTGTATAATAATGTTGTATTACATATTAGTGTATAACATAATAATTTATACAAATATAAGAATCTTTTTACGACCGTAAACAATAATAAGAAGAAAGGAAGCAACGAAGCAAAGCCATTAACGGTCAAAGCTAGATCACAATGCTTATTATAATGTGTGAATTTATATACCGCGTATGTAATTCACTCAATCGCGTGCCGAAAATTTTTTCAGACTTACAACGCAACCCTAAACGATTACCGCGGTGATATCACTTTAGTTAAATTGACAAGCAATCTAACAATTTTAGATGCTTATAGCATCTTATTGGATCTTAATAATATGTTGAAAGACATATATTAAAGCTTTAACGATGTAATATTAAAGCAATGATAAATCTATCTGTGAAAAATAAGATTGTCAATTTAACTAAAGTGATATTACCGCGGTAGTCGTTTAGGGTTGCGTTGTAAATCTGAAAAAATTGTTGGCATGCGATTGAGTGAACTACATACGCGGTATATAAATTCACACATTATAATAAGTACAATTGTGATCTAGCTTTGACAGTTAATGGCTTTGCTTTGTTGCTTCCTTTCTTCTTATTATTGTATAATAATTTATGTTGAAATTCTTAATGTTAATCGAATTTGATTAGATACGAATGATGTCTCACCGCAGAAAAGACACAAGAAACATAAACATAAAAAGCACAAGAAAAAAAAACTCATGCACGATGACTGTGATGCCTTTGTAGAAATCTCAACCGACGCTGATCAGAAGAAAAGCTTTCGAATAAAAATGAAAAAAGAAGATGAACGGAAGTATGTGTATTATATAATGTTTATTTTCATATATCTGCTTTTTATGCATTATATTGCAAACAGTTAAAGGAATTAATACAAAATTACACTCTTCAGCTAATATCTCTTTAAGAGTTTCAGTTTCAGAATAAATTATAAAAATATCAAATTTAGATAAGTAATGGCCTTTATCAATGTCTTTTGTTAGGAAAAGATTTTCATTAATTTGTTTGTAGCAATACATCATGTTTAATTTCAAAAATTAATTTCTGTAAATTAGATATACACATAATATGCACAATTACATTAATTTTTATTATTTTCCAGTTTGGATAAACGTGAAAAAATATTAAAAACATGTGGTTTAAACGCAGCTGCAATAAGTACTGCACCTTCTCCAAAAGCAACCGCAAAAAAAAAAATTCTAAAAGGTAACAAAGGTAAAGACAGTGGAACTAGCAGCGAAGAAGAAAGGTGGTTAGATGCTATTGAATCTGGTAAACTGGAAGAGGTATTTTTTTTTTGTTTATAGTGGTAATGCAAAAACATACTGTGACACTTACTATTCTTGTATTTTTATGACCATGCTCAATGATAACTCTAATAAGATAATTCTAATAAGAAATAGAAAGAAAATCTAATAAGAAATAGAGAGAGAGAGAGAGAGAGTGAGTGAGTGAGTGAGTGAGTGAGTGAGTGAGTGAGTGAGTGAGTGAGTGAGTGAGTAAGTGAGACATTTGTTTTATTTTAGGTTGATGACGAATTGAAAAAAATTAAGCCAAAAGATCCCAAGTTAATGACAGCACGACAGAGAGCAATGTTTGAAAGAAAGACTGATACAGAACCAAATCCAGGTGTCGAACAACTCATGTCGTTACCTACTGGTTACAAAGAAAAAGTCATGACTGCCGAAGCTATTCAGAAGGCTGCTCTAAAGTCTCTAAAACGGAAACAACTTGCTGATGAAAAGAGAGAAAAGGATAAGGTAGCGAATAACAGAAAGTTTTCTCTGATGACAAACAACATTATGTTTAATAATAGGTTAACTGTATGAAATAAAAATATTTTTGAATTACTTTTATAGAAAAAGACAATGGAAAGATTGCTTAAGAAGCAAGAATCTAAAGCATCCAAAGTTATCAGTAAGGGAAGATTATCTAAACGACAAGTACCATTAGTGACGTATCGCTTAACGTTTGAAGGAAGTTCTATATCTTTACCTCCTGGTGAAAATTTTCCACTTTCTTCCACCAAAGAGTATGACAGAATTATTACTATTATTATTTTCTATCCTGACATGCAACATTTGTATATCCTTGATTCAATATTTTAGGAGAAGTCCGCCAAAACAAATCCTTTGCGGGGTAAAACAATGTAAAAATCCCAAAAGATATTCGTGTTCGAAAACGGGAATACCATTGTGTAGTTTACAATGTTATAAAGCCAATCTTCTTTTAACTAGGTAAACACAAACATTTCCAGAAATTCTAAAATTTAGTCTAGTTGTGTACACACACACACACACACACACACACACACACACACACACACACACACACACTTGTATATGAAGAGATATACACATACCTGTATGTACTTTACTTAAAATAACTAATATAAGTTATGAAAGTATTAATTAAACATAGCGTATACATGTATTATAAAAGTCTATATATGTGAATGCTTATAAAAAATAAACCTATTTATCTGTTTTTAACTATCAACTTGTTTTATTTTTGTAAAAAAAAGAAATAGAAAAGAATATAATCTCTGTCCCCTGTCTGTAATACCAAAGTACCAAAAGTACTAACGGTACTAAAGATATTTATTAAGTAAATGATATAAATGTTATAAAACTATTTATACAAACGTTATACGTATGTATAACGAATGCATCTGTGAAAAAAGAAGTAAGACGCGGAATTTTCTCCGAATTGTACTACTTTGTAGCATAGAGTGCAAGTCTTGCTTTCACCCACTTCTCCAAGTAGGAAGCCGTTCGCGCAGCGTTCACTCGCCGAGTCGGTCGTCGACTTAGATTGATGCAGGATCGCTCAAACTTATGTACGTGTACGTGCTCGGTCTCAACCCAGATATTCTGGGCCACCATGTCGTGCTTTCGTTATTGCATATTTTTAACGTTTGTTTTTTCTTCAATTTCAACTTTACGTCTTGAAACATTCGGTGAGTGAAATTTTCTCCTTATTTTCTTTATTATAATAAATATTTATTTTTCTTCTACAAAAGTACACTCTGTATCTCATCTTGAAGAAAAATACAATACAAAAAGTTTTCTGGTTTATGTGCCACCATGCTCCTATATCGCGCGATCAGAGTTATGATTAGTTTTATATTATATTTTTATAAAATTATCATATATAAAAATGTGTAATATTTTACCTGTAAAGATTAAACAGTCTTTTCATTTTTCATGAAAAAAAATAGATAATTATCACGAATGTGTGCGTCCTTGCTCCGGCAAACCATCCTCGAAAAGAACATGTATTTATCATTTCTTTATTACGGAAACGTACGGTACAACAAGGTGAGGCAACGTTATAAAAGTTTCTTTTTTTTTTTATAAAACAGTAATTAATTGATTTCTAAGTTAACACATGCACACACATATATTGTATATACATATAACCGCTGTAACATACTTGCAAGAGAAAAGGATTGTAAGCTGAAAAAAAACTTTAGAAGCTTGATAAAATAATCGAATAACACGTAATTAAAAATGAGAGTTATAAAAAGAAATGAGAAGAGTGGCGCGTTACAATTAAATTTTGCGAGATTTGCAAGCAGACTGTGTGCGTGTGTATGAGTGGAGGAGAGATCCGGTGATATGCCCCGTTATCTCTTCCGAAATGCGCTGTAGGATACAAATGCAGCGGATGCTTGGTCGACATGCGGTGTTTTAACAGTTAATATTCATGATTGCAGTGTTCAGGTAACAGATACTATCCTGAACCAACCAACATCGCTGAACATTGTGCTAATTGCACATATACATAAGCATATACAAACTGTAACTAACTATGCGGAAGCGGGAACTTAATGCAGTATAATGGCTGATAATGATGGTGTCTTGGTGTAAACTTTGTGTTATCATGCTTCTTTTCTACTGTTTTCCACGTTATATAAAATCCTTCGATCTTAACAAGGCCCGATCATTTCTGATTGTTTTTAAGCATTTTTAACATATAGGTATAGAAGCGAGCCATTCCCGAATTTGAAAATGGTGAGGTTCAATTACATATCGAATGTATATGGATTATTTTATTATTGATTATTGTACACTTTTAATTTTAATGAATTATACACACACACACACACACACGTAATCGAGTTTATATTAAAAGTAAGAATTATCCAAATTCACTAATACGTTATACATATCGGTGCCTCATCTTAATGATATTTTACAATATTATATATTTTACTCTCTTGTCGGAGAAAATGTGCGGTGTTTATATTATTTTATATATGTATATGTACATACAATAATATAAAATATATATAATGAAAAAGCTAACATTTCGCTGCCTTTTCATTCTTCTCGCACATTTTTTAACGCATACAACTGTAATAGTCACATAATTATATCTCATATCGTGAAATATTATATTAATATACACAGATAATATCGCGAAGAAAAAAAATATATATATATATATATACTATATAAACGTTGAAAACTTTCGACAAAATGTATTCTTGATCTATCCGCTGCATTTTGTAAATTTTAAACGCGATAAAAATAATTTAACTATATCACGAAACTTTCCTCGTATACTCTCTAGTACTGCGACATCATTAAAGCGCGCGCGGTTATTAATTACTATTAAAATTAACAGTTTCTACGACAAACTTGAGAGCAGCGACGAAAATATTACCGCACGATCAATAAGAAGGAGCCTTTTGGCGATTAACGGGAAAAGTCCAGGACCGGCTATAGAAGTGAGTATCATATATTTTCGTGCAATATGAAAAATATTTTTTTTCTCTTAACATAAACATTATAAATAATTTGGTAAAAACTGCAGAAAAGGGGAACAACCCCCGATGACCTTGACATATCACGTTTCGCATGGAAATTAGTCGAAACTTAATACGTGTACAAAATCATAGAAGTGCCCCCGCCTTTGCAGAATGAAGTGGAGTACTTGGCGTGAAATTGAAGTTTAACGTTTCTAAACAGAAGAGGGTACTTACATAATGTATAGCAGAAATAATACATTAGTTTTAAAATTTTTTTATTAATAACTTTTTAAGAAAGAACAACTGACGAATAAAACTTATAATTGTGGGGGGTCACTATATCAGCGAGTCATGACCTTGACGTGTCAAGATCATCGGGGGTTGCTCTCCTTTTCTGCAGTTTTACCAATAATTAGATATACTCGCATGTTTTTTGTAAAACAAATCTATTTTGACGAATTTATAGATACTAAAATTGTATATTAATTTTTGATATATACGTGCGAAGGTATAGATTTAACGACCGATTAAACCGCGTCTACTTTCGTGTTATTTATTATATGTTATTAATTAAGTCTGATTATATACGATCGTATCCGTTGATATACTTAAAAATTAAAACGTTTTTCGCGCGCTCCGTTCAATACGGGACGCTCTTTTCGCGACGAGACGAGATGATTATCGATATTGGCAATATGTATATATATATATATGTATGTATATATAATTATGCGCGTGCGATTCAAAGTATCCTCTTTTATAATCTCTCTCATGATAGATATGTCTCGGTGACACGATAGAAGTTCTCGTTTCTAATAAATTAGGAAGTGATGAATTGGCTTTCCATTGGCATGGAATTCGGCAAAAGGATTCCAATTACATGGACGGAGTGCCTATGATAACGCAGTGCCCTATTTTACCCTTCGGTGGCTTTCGTTACAAAATAATTCCTGAGAGCACGGGAACGTACTTTTATCACGCTCATTCAGGTATGTGTGGGTTATCTGGCAAAATACAATATATTTTCCCTATTTTTTCAATTGTATTTTAACGAATTTAATAATTTTATTGCGTGAGACGATATCTCTTTCTCTTGCCTCTTTCCGTTTAATTTAACCTCTAGGAGAGTATGAAAAAGAAGGAGTAATGAAAAATTGGAGGAAAATTTCCGCGGATCGCGACCAAACACACAGTCGAGTCGACTCGCTCGATTTTCAGATTGGTTATTTTGACTCCGCGGTCTACGCGTTATAGAACGTTAGTTAATGCAGTACCAAGAACGTAACATACCTATAACCGGTGCTCGCGCATCGAGAAAAGCAAGATCAATAACATGAGTTCGCGATATCTCGTTTCTCTTCTTTCGCAGTTTCGCTGCGCGAGTAAAGAGATTGGACATATCCTTTTTGAATTTATTATCGAAAATTTGTTCAGTCAGTAATTAGAAATGTGACATACACGCCGTAAAGCGAGAAGGAAAATACGCATGATCGTGTCTTTGCTTTCGCGATAATCCTGATTTGAAGGATCCGAAATGAAAGACGAAGCTGGACGAAGGCGTGCCTGCCTGGGCGTGTCGAGCCGAGGCGAGGCGAGGCGTGGCGGAGCAAGGCAATCCGCACAATACGACCGTGCAGCGCGAATCTCGTAGAACCCATCCGTCGGTAGAACCTTGGTAGATAGTAGTGGAGTTACGGGGTAACTCCAAAAGGATAAAAGATATAAAAGGGATCGTTAGTCTCGCAGCAGGGTGACGGAGTGTATGGGTCGTTGATAGTTCGAGGACCACAGGACGAGGATTTCAGTCTAGAAAGGACACTCGTCTTCTCATCAAGGCCATCGACTCCACTGACGCGACACGCAAGCCTTTTCCCACCTACGCCGGACGAGCTCCTCGTAAATGGCCAGGTATAGCCCGTATAGCCCCTACCTTGGGCTATACGTACCATATCAGCTCCCAGTTATCCCATTTCCGTCCAGCCGCGATACACAGCACACAGCTAGATATACTTAGGATAATTCAACTTTGATGACCTAAAGAATATTTGACATTTTTTAGGCGGAGCGAGTGATTGTGCAAGTGAAGCATGGATTTCGTTATTTACTACGCCTCATTAATGCAAATGCTCACGATTGTCCTATTTTATTGTCCATCCATGGACATTTGCTTCAAATATTTGCTGCTGACGGCAACCCTGTACAATCGATGACGGGCACGCACGTTATTTTATTCCCAGGTATGTTTTATTTCACCAAGAGTGCATCTTTTTTCACCCTTGTGTCTTTCTTCATCGATGCTGCTTTACCTTATTGAATCTAATCAATTTTATACTGCAATATACTTTCAATCTTTTTTGTATTATACAAATGTATTTGCACGAGTGTATATTTACGTACACATTTGATAGACTTAAGAGAGGGAAAATAACAAAATTGTCATTAATTTTCATTAATTAAATTTGACATTAGTTTTCAATGAAACAATGAGACAAAAAAAAATGTCGAAAAAATGCACGTATATTGTATATATTGCACGTGCATAAAGAATACTTGCATTAGATCCCAAGGTGTAAAATTTTAAGCATCGAGGCCTCTTTTTAGAACCTGCTGTCAGTCTTTAAAGTCTTTAATTAGATTAAAGTCTTTTGAAAATAGAATCAAGATGATTAGGACATAGTTTTACTTTCATTAAACATCTTGTAATAATAAAGGTTGATTACAATAAACTTTATAAACAAGGCGAAGCAATCGACATTTGCTACATTTAAAAATCAATGCAATGTTCCTTTTTATTTACCATCAAACTTATCAACTAGAATCAAAATCACGTAATGACTTCCTCCAACATAACTACTCTGGCGTTTCATACATAATTAATATACATATACCTAATGCTCCAAGAAAAACACCAATAATCGGATGGGGGATTCGCAAGAGAGAAGAGCGCGCGCGCGCCCGCGAGAGAGAGAGAGAGAGAGAGAGAGAGAGAGAGAGAGAGAGAGAGAGAGTGAGTCGTTTTACGTTTTCGCACGTACAAAGAAGTACTTTTTTAAGTTGTAGATACAAGGCCTTCATTAAAATCTCGTAAACGCGCAGATTTAATTTATTCACGGCCAGTGACAAGGATAGATGAATGATGAAAAAATTGTCTTGAAATTTGAAAAAAAAAAATAGATACTAGGAGAAATGAAATATACCTACCTATACTCATAATAGTCCAGAACGTCCTGTGCTCGATTTGACTCCGAGCTTAAAACTTTACAAAGCAAGAAAGGAAGAAAGGAGAAAAGCATCAGAGGATCGACAACGGTGGTGCGGCATAGAGGGAAATTCTCCCTCCCTCCCCCTCTCTCTCTCTCTCGTAACAGCATTAACAGGCTCGAATAACCTGATGTAGTGGTGAGAGGCATGGCAGGAAGGCAGACTAACGTTCGCGCAGACTCGGCCGTCTTCGTGCTCCCGCCAGGGTTTCCGCAAAGAGAAATAAAGAAAGGAAGGTGGCGAAACGCGCGAGAGAGAGCCCCGTGCAAAAATCATTAAAACGCGTGCTCGTTTCGCGACTGCGGCTTACGTCGTGTTAACTTTCCGGCCTGTGATTTATTAACATCAGCAGAGGCGACACAACAAAGAAGGCGCTAAACGCGTGTTTAGTGGACACGTCGTCCACTTGGTTGGGCCACACCACTTGCTCGTTCGAGCGCGCGTTGTGGCATCTCCGAGGAAACGTTGTCTCACCGACCTTCCGTACGTCCTGAGATATATCTCTTACATGTACAGTCATCACGGACTTTGGGATGGTTTGAGGGCAAACGATAACGAGACGCGCAGCATCGGCATGGAGTGGACCCGCGATAAAACTCTGGAGCTGCTACGCGAGTATCAACAACGACGAGTCCTCTGGGATTGGAACGCCCGAGGCTATCGCGACAGGGCGAAGCGCAAACGAGCTATCCAAGAGCTCGCTGAGATTCTCTGCTGCAACACTCTCGAGATTGAGAAGAAGATCACCAATCTCAAGTGCCAATATTCTCGGGAAGTACACAAGATACAGAACAGTCGCGAAGCAGCCACCGGTCCAGAGGACGTATATGTCTCCAAGTGGTTCGCCTTCAAAGCTATGCAGTTCCTACAATTCGGCACGCGTAGATACAGCAAGCGGAAGAAGGTAGAGAAATAGTCGTAATACTTGATCGTAAAATGGCCTAAATCATTGCATCTATTGGGATTTCTAGCAATAACGATAAAGGAAATGCACTCGATATATTACTTTCTCTCTCTCTCTCTCTCTCTTTCTCTCTCTCTCTCTCTCGTTGTGGCTTCTTTCTCTTCCGTATAAAATTATACGTATATACATATATTATACGCGGGATAGAGAATTACACGAAAACTAATCGTTCAAAAATATACGCGCAACAATTGGTGTGTGTGTGTGTGTGTGTGTGTATAATGTATTTGATATATGCATGTATGTATTCGTTTTGCAAATTTTTTCAGTAGGGAAGAATTGGGTTTATTTAATTGAACAACGGATTTTTGGACCGACTATTTACCGACTATCGAGTAGAAATTTCAAGTGTATGTTTATTTTATTTTGACGGAAAATATATCTGTGATAAATATCTATCTTGCATATAATTTGTATACGATGAAATAGAAAAATAAACATAACAGAAAACGTTGTGTCGAGTTGATTAAAATGACGATTTATATAAAGATGTTGCATTATTGGAAAATTCGTCTTGGAAAGTAATCTCAGTACAATGCTTCGCTTTATTCGATTGAGTCAAAAAAATTACATCTCCTACATCCTATACGTATGTTATACTATCGTAATTTGCACGCGACGCGACAGCGAACGACAACGAAACGTGTATTACAAATTTCAACGGGTGTAGCGCGACGCGTCGCTGGTCGAGATAAGTATTTCGTTGGCCCGTGGCGACGCGTAGCGATGTATGGCGATGTGTCTTGATGTGTCCTGATTTGTCCGCTTCCCAGTGAAAATTCGAATAATATATGACAAAGATTTTATCTCGCGATCCATGTCCGATCTCTCCTTTCAACAGTTCGTTTCGTTGCGTGCAATTAAGATGCACGAGAACCACAACATCACGCAATGTCAGATGTTTTAAATAAAAAAAATTTTTGTACTCAATATTTAAAAATCACCGTCGTTTCTCTCTCAAAAACGAACTTTTCCAAGTATTCTGTCGCAAACAGTCTACGCTCTGCAGTGATATACAATGTATGTATGTACCATATAATAGCAGCGATTTCCAAGTTTTATGAAAGAAAATCAATACGCGTGAAAGCTTCGACGCAAGTTCTTTCTCGGAGATTGAGATTGGATCGAGTCGTGCGAACGTAAATGCTCGTAATTCGTTTGTATATGTATATTAGACAAAATAATTACGAGACTGAGAGAGAAAGAGGAAATCCTTTCTATTCTGCTCTTATGCCAGTGTATGTCAGAGCGCGGTAAAATTCCTGATACAACCTGATCCCTTTTCGTAGAAAGTTGAAGAGGAACCGAAACTACAAGAAGAATATATTGTGAGCGACATCGATCCCGAAAGTATAACATTCATGGATTGCAACGAGGAGACAAACGGCTCTGGTACCGGTTCGTTCAATGCCTCACTGAGCGAGGACGCCGAAGAGTCCTCGTCGTCCAGTATGAAGGCAATGGAATTGTACAATGGTTCTTTGCCGAGCCAGAACGGTTTCGTTCTTGTTGAGCCTCGCGCATCGGATGAGAGAGAACGAAAAAAGACCAAGGAAGAGTTTGTCAAGTTCGGCGAGAGTATCGCCGTGCAGCTCGCCGAGATTCCTGACTCTTACTCGAGATCGGTCGCCAAACTTAGGATCAACCAGATTCTCTTCGAAGCAGAGATTGGGATCTACGCGCAAACGCATCGCTAATAAGCAAGTTCGCTAAAACCGACTAAAATTGCGAATTAACGCAAATAATCAACGTGAAAAACATTGTGATTCGCATTCATCGCATCGCTATATCGATCTCAACGATCTTACATTCGTTCGAATCTTATTTGCTGTAATAAGCTCTAACAAGCTGCAGTAAAAATTCGCTCTTTACTGAGGTCTTCGAACGACTGTAGTAGGACTGTGACAAAAGAAAGACTCGCAGCAAATAAAACAAAGATTAAATTATTCGACAGAGCAAACTATTCTATCCATCCATCGACCGAGCATGCGTTTGGTCGTTTCGAATAGAGTGCCGCAATGAAATAAATGTGCATTTGTACATTTTCCATTTGTTTTATTTATAATTTTTAATTTTTGGACGAATAAAACAATTTAAATTATTATGCCTTCTCGATTTATAGAGGATTAGAGGATATAGTAACAGATGTGCAATATTAAAATGAGTGCCAGCGTGGTATAATGATTTTGATGATCGCACCGCCGTCCGTGTCTTGTTAAAAGCCGGATACTTCTAAAGACTGAATCGATCAAGACTGTACAATAGACAATTTTTCCATATGATTAAACGAATTTGTCGATTTCAAACACTGATTGTGTTTATTTTCTAAAATTCTAAACTAAACAACATCAGTGTTTATTTGTATTTATGTGTCTCAGAAAAACTCAATATAAAAAAAATGATATTACATTTTTTCCCGTTTATATCCGTTTTTATTTAAACAATTCGGCTGTTGCATTGTTGTGTTTGTTGACTAATTTACATTAATTTAATTATCTATCTTTATTTTTGACATAATTTTGAACGCAGCAAAAAGAATACAAGTAATGCAATAGAATAAGCTTCTTCCTTTTTGAAAAATTTCCAGTTATTTTTTGTTTGTAATCACTATATTACGTACGAATGCATCTTTTCTCTCTCTCTCTCTCTCTCTCTCTCTCTCTCTCTCTCTCTCTCTCTCTCTCTGACACGCGCGCGCGCGTCACACTAGTTTAATTTCCTAAAGTTCAAAACACTAATCGTAGATAATTCAATGTAGATCAGTAAATATAGTTAGGATCTTAGCAGAATGGCTGGCTTATAATTTTAAGACAATATCTTATGACTTAAGTCTTTTGTCTTCAATAACGCACAATTACTGTCTTATGAATCGAATCTTAAATGTGTACATGTACATACTTATATGCGAGGTGTGACACCTCGAAGGTATATATAAATACATCTTTAAGAAACACACTCTTTTGCATAACGCATAAAGCATGTGCGTAAGGAATTTCATTGGCCCATTTTCTTATGCATGAGTCAATGAACCAATCAAATTCTTTATGTATATGGTTTATGCGTTATGCAAAAGAGTGTGTTTCTCGCTAAAGCGGGGAGCACAGACTTTTATGCGTTATGCAAAAGTCTGTGTTCCCCGCTAAGACTCCAGTCACAAGACAGTTATACCTGGTTTATGCTTCGGTCTTGGTCTTAATCCTAAAATTCAGCCAATAGAGTTCAAATTTCGGTTAGAACTGGTAGCTTTATTGGTTGAATTTTAGGATCTTGGGATTAAGACCTGAAGCATAAACCAAGCATTTATCGTGCGTTATTAAAAACAAAAGTCTTAGGTCATAAGACGTTATCTTATATGGGCCTTCTACAATAAGCCATAAATCAGAAGTAAGAAACTAAAAATTAACGACTGTGATTGGTCCATTTCTAGCTTATGACTTATGATTTGTGACTTACGGCTTATTGTAGAAGGCCCAATAGGCCTTCAACAAGCCATTACCTAAGTTTTAAGTATTAAGTCATAAGAAATTGACCACAGTCGATTATTCTTCTCATATTCGATTGTGATTGGTAAATTTTTTATGACTTAACACTTAAAATTTAGGTAATGACTTATTGTAGAAGGCCTATTATACTCTTTCTTAGCACTAAGATTTTATGTATCCAGAACAACAAAGTCAATTCGATAGTGGGATAATGATTACAAATTTACTTGTAACACGATATATAATTTCCCTCTTCGATACAATTAATTGTCAATCTTACATCTATAGAGAAATAAATTATTATACTAGTGAATTAAACATACATTACAATATTTATATCGATTTCATCATGGCGACGTTCTATTATTTAATTATTTAAAGTATATAAAGGCTCAGTATCTAACGTAAAAAAACATTCCATTAAATCTTGAAATACTTGTTCAAAGCAAATGAAAATAAATGCATACGTAGCGTCTATTGGTTAATACTTTCCAAAAATTAATATAGTAAAAATGTTAATAAGGAGCACAAATAGATATTATCTAGAGATATTATCATTTGAATATCAAAAAATAGAAAATATAATTATAATGCAATAATTTACAATTTCGAAATAATTCATCAGTATATAAATTCAATGATGTTGTCATTAGTTGACTGGAACATTCTTCGTCCTCAGTGAAATTTTAATTATATATTATATATGTCGATACAATCAAGCACTTATTTTTCTTCGAAAGTAAACTTTTACAATCTTTGTAATTATTTCAATATATGTATATTTTGGATAAACTTTATATATACATATATGTATACATATATATATATATATATATATA